TACCGATTATCTCCAGCGAACAATTCAGATACTGTCTAATCAGTGAGACAACTGAGCTTTTCTCACAATGTGGGTGATCCTTTTGTGTTTCTGTGTGTAGTACGTCAAATAAAGAAATACACCGCGGAGAGTGAGGTCAGTGGTTTAGTTTGATTGTCCTCACCAAGGCAGCGAACGTTCACATGCATTGTGGGCTCAATCGCTCGATCGAAGGTCGTTTGTACGGCTTGTAATCCACATGTCTCGCGCAACTCTTTGGAGGATAACTTCACGAGCAATAGAGGATCTTGCCCCCCGATGGTGAGAAGAAGGTTGATCAGATCACTCGAAGAGATGAGCTAATATAAGGCCTAATGAATATAAATACAAGAGATACACTATCGCAGAAAAAATAAACTGGAACACAGAATTACTTGCTGTTTCCTTGATCCGCCCCTGTACATATGGACTGGATCATTTTGTCTTTGAATGGCCTACCAAACCTCGTGATACTATGGAAGTTAAATCTTTTTGTGAAAGTTCATTACAGACAGATTTCCACTGATCATAGTGCGACTCAAACCACCGGCACTTTCATGGCGGTTGATAAGTAGGTTCTCTCCTCAAGGCTAATACAGATTGATTATTTTCTGGTGGTAAAAGCGTGAAGAACTACATATATGTTGACCCTCCAGCTTTAACTGTGCATTTCACCGACATACGTGATTACAAAGTGAAAATAAGTCCTTTTTTGGATCGCGTTCGATTACAGGTGTGATAAATAACCAATAGGTGGACACCAAGGAATTCGGATCTACTGCTTTGTCGTAGGTAATCGTCAGCTACTCAGAAACAACTCAACGAAGTGAAGCAACGAGTGTTGCGTAATGGCAGACTAATTTCAGAACAACTAGAGAAGTCACAGAGTTCTTGCTTCAAATATCGGGTTTCCACAGATCGGCTGAGTATTCAGGGTCACACCAACATCGCATGTCCATTGTATGAGAATTAGGTTTCTGACGAGATTAGATAGATAGTATTCGTTGAAATATAGACATACAAAGCAAATTTAGAGAAAAATCTTTGACGTAGGGTGTGCTCGGTTGTCTCATTGAGCTCTATTCCAGAATAGGGACCTCTTCAGATGGTCCACCTCGACCTGGTCCCACTAGTGCTATTTACGGAAATGACACTACATTGGTTCTCGTTTGGAAGGCCGTTAGCCCAAATGTATCCGTTGCTCATCCTTACATCCGGCTTCTCCCAACATTAAGTGAAAATCGTTATTTCATGGTGATGTTTAGCAATATAGATTCATTTACCCTCCTCATTGTCTCGCCTTTTTTACAACTTGCACTGATGTCGAGTAAACACTGCTGTTTCTTACAGAATTTTGGATAACTCACTAAAAGGCACATCGCAGTGGACAGTTTCATATCAGTAAATTTTTGTGTGATGCTACCACGTAGTCCACCTACAATTAACTCAGGTGTGTTCTATGTAGCTTGACTTGACACGGATAAATTCTTGCTGGTATGTGTAAAATCTATCGTATCTATACTATACTGTCGTCTCCTTGAGAAGCATAGAACATCTCAAGTCTCACTACCGGGATAGAGGGGATTGGCCCTCAAAATGAGTATACTGCATGTCTCATCTTGTTTGATGCTTATCACGCGGATACAGCAATATCTCCCGTGTTTTTTTAAGTTCCCACCGTTCGGCACAGCATTGCTCGATTATTGGCCACACTGGTGCGTATGATGAAGGTTCCTTATTCCAGCCCACGCTATGAAATTGTCGTGAAATTTGACTACTCGGGAGCAGTTTAGTAGATATTCCTGTCTTTCACAACACCTGTACGTATCAGAATGTATCACTTGTTGAGGCTCATCAGTTGTATCTTGCTGATCCTGGAAAGATGGAAATAGAAAAACCGTGACTGCTCAGTCTGGCTGTCAATTTGGGGCTTACCTGGTTGTTGGGTGCTGATTCTCTGACAAAATCGTCCGAAAGCCTCCGCTGTGAACTGTTCCATGATCAGGACCAAGTATCTCCGGCCGTTCAACGTAGCCGAAAAGGGTGGCCGGTCTTTGCTAGTGTGATACATTATGTTAATCAGATTGTTTTTTTCTATTTTAGTGATAATGATTGCTGACGTCCCGACATTTTATAACAAGCTTTCTCCATGGACTAGGGTAGATTGATTAATAAAACCCTTCCATTGGTGACTGACAAACTGAATAGTATTTTGGTGTGAGAGTGGCTTGTTTGTTTGCTTGCTCTTATAGCCTTAACTTTCCCTCTTCCTCTCCCAAGTTCACTGCGATATGCTCTTAAAAAAGGCCGAGCATATTCCATGTGTCTCATGGAATACAGTTGCCCTGCTCAACAATTGGTGTCAAGATCTGCACAAATCGTGCTTCACAGTTGTTCCCAGTGACAGACACCACAGATTCGTTCATCAGTGGCCAATAGGTTTGAAGATATCTACAAATCGGAGGTGACTGCGTCTACGGTTGTCCTTATAGTGTGTGTGTGTGTGGGGGGATAGCTATGCACTGCAGGCAGTAACTTGAATGTGGACGCTGTTAGGCTCATGATTGGCTAGCATCTGTCACTGTCACTTACCATTACCGATATCCATTTTCTGATCCCCATCTTAACCAATAAATCTACTGTATAAATTCCCCGAGCATAATTCGTGTTGTCGAGTTTGTCGAATGAGCCAATAACTAATGCAGTGGCTCTTCGGAGGGACGAATTCCTCGTAGTACTGAGTGGTGCTCTGTAGTCTCAACGGTTTTCTTCGGAGGATACCAAAGTGACATTCATTTAGGTATCCGTTTTTCTCTGGGCACTTCGCGATTTTACGAATCGGGATATACTTTGCTGACTAGCTCTCTCAACGTAGTTCCTACTCCGTTTTTCTTATTAGGATGTGATATTCCGCTTAGGATTTCTGAAGGTATGCGCCGCACGTGCATTTGTTTAAAAAATATTTACTCAGTAGAATGGCATCATACACCTGCTCGTGTGCCTACGTGTGCACTGTGGCTGTTTGACATCGACTTCTTTCCATAGCGTTGTGTTGTATGTAGGTCGCAAAAGCCTGGGTGTGTTTCACTACTGACAATGCGCCTGAGTAGACGAACTCCTTGACGAAAAATGTCCGTGTGATTGTTTTCACGAGGTAGCCAATCGTATTGCAATGAGTGTGCGTTTCGATAACCTTAGCGTTCTGCCACCCACTGTAGCTTCGTCACCCGGTTGCGTCTCGGTCATAATAAAACAAGTAGCTGTAGACGGATTTAGATGGACGAGATAGTCTTCTAAGTCCTGTTTCTGTGTTCAGCTGTCAACGGACCGTCACCATAGATTAAAAACTACAGGCCAAAATCACACAAAAAGTGATGGAGTAGGAACAGCTAGCTGAAACAGGATTTGGAGTGTTTTGGGGTTGGTGAGGTAACTGCATGCTGTTTGCAGGGTAGTGTGATTGAAAGCATCCCTAGTTTACCTGTAGACAAGAGGTCAAAACGAACGGGACGAGACGCACCATTCGGTATACGTGAACGAAATTCTAAATAAACAGAAGGTTACATGCCAGCGTGAAAGCGACAATGAAACTTGTCCGCGATATAAGTTTTGGGTCTTGTTCGAGCAAGCGTAGGTTCTCAGGAAATGCGACGGCGTGGCAGTACAGTTGACGGAACGCACAAACCCTCATAGAAAATTTGGAAGATAACTAATTAACCTAGGAAGAGGAGATTCCTCAGCTTTGGGACTGTAATTAACCGCAACTAGGGTAAGATAAACTTATTCCTAGCCCTTGGAAATGGCAATTCTTGGCGAATGCATAGTTCAGTTAAGATGGCACTTCATTAGGTCCTCCATGCCTGGAGCGAAATGAAAACGCTATTCCTCTAATTTGGGAAGGCCGAATAGTAGAACTGTTTCGGTGGACGAATAAATAGGATCAGCCAAAATATATCAAAACGATTATTTTCGTACTGAAGAGAAATGGTGAAGGAAAATTCAAGTCATCAGCATATTTTAGAAGTCTGTGTGCGTGAACGCTTTGAAGATCATGTTGTGTAAGAAAGCACGGTAATGAGGCAACCTTGAAAGGAAAATATGCGTTCGGTGCCGCAAAATGAGTTGAGCAAAATTATCGTATCAACTACTCCCGAGATATGTGTATCGTGTGGGTATTTAAAAAAGCAACAGAGCTAGCAAATTGAAGGATGGAGAGGAAGATAGAAACTCTGCGTTAAAAGCAGTCCGATCCGGGCACCGAATGTTTGTACCGGATCTTCCCCTACAGCCAAACTTGATATAGCTCCATGCATCTTTTGTTGACCTCAGGTTCATCAATTCGGACATAAAAGAGTACTTAAATTTCCCTGTTTCCTGTCACCATTGTAAATTGTGTGCATCGGCGTCTGGGCATCTTTCACATTTATTAGCATGCTCTTTCTTTCTTCGAAGTTGTTTGAGAAGCTTTGGCTAACCATTTCGTTCCAAGGGGCGAAACCAGTTTGATTTCACATGTCAACATTGAATGGCATCAAAGTTGTGGACTCGATTAGCCTCAAAGGAGTCGTCATGAAAGCCCTGTACAGTGCAACCAATAAACTGACTGCACAGTTGTCCGACTATGATTCTTGATTCGATGCCACGCAATTATTGTGATCACCTATTATTTTGTTGAGTGTTGGAAATCCCTACTCTACATATTCTAGTGTTGGTCGTCACCAAACTGAAGGATACACGGGGATTTTTCACCCCCTAAGAAACAATCTATTTGAAAACAAATAAACACCGGGTCTTATCCACATCAGCAATGTTACCAGCACGTTTTGAATGGAGACTATGGAATAGCACATTGTCCAGAAGCCCAGAGCTGTGTTGTTAAATGTGTTCGCCTAGTTTTTTTTTACTACCTTCAGATCGTTGCAGTTGTACCATTTTGTGACTACACTGGACACTTCTCGCTTCCATTGTTTTCATTTGGCCAGGTGGAATCTCAGAGACTCACTTGGAGAAACTCTTAAGCACTGCCAGAGTTGATCGAGTGAATAAGGCCTTGTTTGCTAGCCTTTCAATGCTGATTGGCGCTCAGCTCATTCACCCGGAGGTAAGTTGCGTGGCATCAAATGTCATATTTCCCAAACTTTCTTTCCTGTCATTAGCATTATTTCACGTCATGCAAAAAAGTAGTCCAGCTGTGTATCTTTCGTGAAAACTTGAGGGATCTGGCGTATTTTCTGTTAATGATAAGTCACATGGTATTCCTCAATTGGGAAGCCAGAACCGTCATAAAAACGAATTCGGAAAGTATCTCGTTGTTTGTCAGCTTAGAAATGGAACGTCACCCTTCAAATGAATCTCACCGGAAAGAAGATACTACCTGATTAACCTGGATCCCTCTTCCGATCGTACCGAACCGGAACTTCGGTAGTGTGGGAAATGAAAACATGCCTGTCTATGCACACCAGCATAACCCCAAGGTCGTCGTTGGCTTCAGATTCTTAGTCCTCTGGTGACACGACTGATGCACGTATATTGTCACTTTTGATTACAATGTGCTTCTCCTTACGGCTAATCGGAACCCAGCACGCCGCCATTCATTCTCAGAGGTGAGAGTAGAGGACAAACAATTGATTTGTGGCTGAAAACTCGCGCGTCCCCGAAATTTGCACGCTAACATTATCAGAGCATGTGGTGAGATGGTTTTCGTTCTTCGATAGAAAGCAAGATTAGCGGACTGCGGCGAATTGGACGATAATGTTTCAAGATGTTTCCTTTTTATGTTAGACTGATACATGGAGACCCTTGTTCTTTCGACATATGTGGAAAGCGAAAGGTTCGTGTCGTTGATCACACCCAACTTAACGATAGGATAAGGCAGAAACCTTCGGTAGTTCTCATCCGTCTATTTTCCGGATGTATCGTCTTAGATAACGGTTACATTAAACCGCCCCTGTTGGTTCGGAACATCACACTCATTCATAAAAACATAATAACCTCTCAGTACAATCAAATTCACTCTAGCTAATAGCTTTTTCCTCCAAAGAAGGTGTACCATCGGGAACTTTAAACTGTCCTGTGGGTGTTATTTCTCCAGTAGAGAGAACCACTGAATAACACTTCGGTCTTTTATTGCTTCACAGACAAACCGGGAAGTGAGCTACCCTAGATGTTAGGCCGTATGCTTTGAAGCCAACACTGCGCAATCCGAATGGTGTATGGTTGCTCCTATCTTATTCGACGCTCCTATCACACCCGCAAGATGTTTCGGGGACACCAGTGGTCAAACAGTATTCGAACATCTTTCACCCACAGCGGCAGCGTCTCATCCATATGATAGAACATTTCACCCTCCAGTGGTGTTCAATCTTCTCCTGGCAGACGCACTTCTGTCGCATTGGTGCCAGACATGACGGAAGTCGGCACATGACACATCGACTTTGTTGGTTCGAGAAATTATTTAGTCTGTCGGCATTTGTGCATCTGCCCAGACAAGTGAATTCATATGCCACATAACTGCAGGCATGAAGTTTGGGTTCGATCACATCCACTGTAATATCACTTGAAATTCTGCAGGAGCAGGGCGCATGCCGAACCGAGCAGTAGAATTATTCACTCATTCGCACACCAATCTGGTTTTCACTTGAATCCCAGCTGAATCTCTCGTTTGTGGTATTCTTCAACTGAATAATTTGTTCCCAAATACCGCCCCATATATCATTTAGGACGATATTCGAGATACCGCCGTATATTTTAATGAAAAAAACCCTACTTATAAGGAGATTGAAAACTCCTCAACAGCGCCTACCCCGTGAGCCCAAAAAAGGACAAAATCGGTCGTGAGCTATCGAAGAGCTTTCGGCAACCTCGTGAGTAGTTTCTTTTATGAACTACCAGGTTTAGAATGATTTGCGTTCGCATCACTGTTGATGAAACAGTTCCTGTGCATACCGAAGAGGGATTCGTTAGACGTGGGTATCCCTGGTCGTGCCGATATCTGAACGCCGGGCACCTGACATTCGAGGCAAGCGTGTTACCACTAGTTCACCATCGCTCGCTGGATGCACCCGAATTTTCACATCCGAATGAACGTACATGTTCACTTCCGAGCGATGGGTTTGTTTGCCCAGCGCCTCCAACGACAACTATCCAATATCTGTTCTGATTGTATCGACCGATTGATCCACCTGTCATGAACTCCCAGTCTTGTGGCGCCGAGCACGCTTGGGATTCTCTTGCATTCATAAAGGATGTTGCACTCTATAATGATGAAGCTTGAGATAGGCTCAGGTCACAGTTATTGACTAGGCTTCAAATGCAACACGAGTTTTTCGATTGTTTTTCTCCAGACCCAAACACTTAGGCAGTGTCTAAGCTGTCTTGCTTCGTTCGAGTTGCATCGCAGCTGTGCACCGAAGGGCTGCCAAGGCTGGATTGTTTAGTTTACGTAATAAATTGGATTTTTGAATGATTGATAGATTCACGAGCCACCGCTCTCGACGGTTTTTATGAACATCATCGGTTAGCGATTATTGGTTGAACTATCCTAGATATCAGTCAGTCTCTCTTATTTAAGCAACTACAAATTAGAAAACGTAGCTGAGGGACAAACTGTATATGATTCTGGGTAGCCCTGCACGATTTTATCTTCCAGCGGTTCTATTGAGTCAGAATTGCTTTTTTCGTAGTGTATACTGTTCAGGTTATCCATAACATAACACGAAATTCTGCAGCAGCTGACTGTGATTTCGTCGATGGATTTGGTGCTACGGCATCGAGGGATTAAAAGAGCCAAAATACGTCAATTAGAGTACAACTAATTACATAAGCCCCTGTTAACACAACTGAGGTGGCCACCAAATGTAGCATCGTTTGCCAGCTATCCGAACGAACATGTTGTTTGTATACCGTTGAGTTACAGCCACTCATCTTCCGTTCTGTTGGGCTGGGACCCATCAACACATAAACCTAACCGGTTTTACCTCAAGCACACTTACATTTACACTTTGGATACATTTTTTTTATCCTCACGGGTTCTCGGGAGCCCCATCAATCTTTCCTTATAATTACCAGTTTGATCACTTATGCTTCGTCGTACATTGTACCGAGTTGCTTGACAAAAATAACGTTCGATTAAACATTTCCACTCCCAAGCGAAGCTCGCTGACTGGTGGTTACACTGCACAACCTAGTTCCTCATCGTTCCAATTCAGTCAGTGTGAATGTGTACAGCGTCTGCCAAGTATTGCTAGTGTTGCAGATCGTGTACAACGTTATCTCCCAATGAGAGGAGACCGAAAAGACCGGGTGGACCCAAATTCCTACGCATTTTCCAGGTGGTCACCGTATCTGGTGGACCTTATTGAGGTGAGTTTCTTTCACCTTCATCTGTGCATCACCTGTTCGTAGACTATTATTTTTCGCCAAAACAATAACAATATAGTAGCGCTTTAGCTCGCTACCGACGTATGTCCGATGGCTTTTCGATACTCATTGGATTCCATGGGTCAGGTGAAGGTTACCCTTGTATCTGAGCATGTATCAAGTAAGCCACGCTATGGGACTACTCATGGACACGAGACCCGGAGTCTCAACCACCCGGCTCGGTCGTTTTTTCAGCTGCTTTGCTAGGAAATTGGAATCTTGGGATTCTGTCAGACGTGGTCCATCCACACTGTTACTAGTACTTTCACATCCAAGGCTTCGAATACCTTACGACCATATCGTAATTCTTATTCTCAGGAAAACTGTTTTTTTGGGCGCATAAGCCAAGTGAAGCGAACCCTCGTTCCCCTTATGTGACTATTCTGTCTGAATTCACTTCTACGAGCCGATTGAAACCGTTCGACCTGTTACATAACTCACAATCATTGAGCTGAGTTCCCATAAATTTGTTTATCTGTGTTGAAGATAGTTCGCTGATGACTGCTGATGTGCCAGTTTAATTTAAGTAATCTACAGTGGACTCGAGGGACGTTGCACTGTAAATAGGTCTCAAGTTGCTGAGAACGGATATCTTGATATTTTTCAGTCACGTCACGGTTTCTCGTTCGCGGTTTAGAATTGTTAATTTTGAAGCGTTCTGCATAAACAATGACTAAGTTGAATACCAAATTTTAGGCTGTTTTCTTGAGAGCAATGTAGATATAGTAGCGAAGATTTAATCGTATCGTAGATCAGAGGATGGGAGATACGCCAAAGCGAAGTTATACAAGTGGCCAAACAGCCTATTTTTTGCTGTACACATTGTTCACATCTGTAGATCCGCTTTAAAATAACAGCTCAAATAAGCCGGCCAAATCATTTTTTGCGAAAATAACCGCACCATGAGAGAATTGCCGCACCATTTCTCTCGAATGACCGTATCATCACACGTGTTACCATCCGTCAGTTTGTTTGATCGGTATCCATGCACGTATCCTTTCGCAGATTGATCACTATTTGTGACTTGTGACAATTTACTCAACTGACTGCATATCACTTGAAGCCACCACGTAATGCTGATCATTTACGGTACTTTTGCTAAGAACACGACCAAATAGCGTATCCTGTCCGTATTCTAACGACCAGTCTTGTTTATTTCGCGCGAGGACTGGACAGTCCAGTGCTGGTCGTACTATGAGAGTGCACAGATAATCCTGAAAACCATTTTGGCTTCAGTGAAGCGATCAACAAGCTGCCGTGGTAGATAGAATAGCGTCAGCAGGCTTTGTCATCGCCCTGGGAATGGAGGGAGATAAAGAGCGTTCAGCTGTAGCACCCTTCCGGTGCCTAGCTGCCATGCCACCCGAAGGGAGCACGAGGGCTGGGATACTGCCAGGTTGCCCAAGCCTAGACAGGGGAAGTCGAGTGGCGGAGGTCGGATTCGAACCGCGGACCTTCAGGTTAGTAAATCCGCGCTCTAACCACTTCGGCCATCTCGCCCCCGGGAATGGAGGGAGTTGAATTTAGTTGGAACATTCTCCATAGCGTCTGTTCACCCAAAACGGATGGCACCAAATCGAACAACACCTTGGTTGGTATAATCTTGTAGCCATAGAAACTGGGTCACTTATTTTATGTTTTGGCTTTCTAAAAGCTATCTACATGCCGGATTTTTTAGACACCGACTTCCAGAGTAAATTGGTAGTTTCCCAAGTAAACTTTGGTCGAAATAAATTATCCCTATGGGACGCACAAATCAGTTAGAGTCCGTGATGGGTGAATACATTGTAAACCATTGTAAATTCACTGCCATACATCTTCAGTAACGGTTTGTCTACCTGAGTTCAAAGCGAAATGTAGCAGATAATTTGACCAGAATATCATGTGCTGCAAATGGAGAGAATGTAACCTGCAATTTTATGTACATTTCAGGAAGCAATAGAGGGAAAACTCAGCAAGTCACATTACACGTTTCTAGTTGGAAGGAATCCTATAGAGACTGTGAATTCGCTGGCGCCGGCTGCGTTTTCTCCAAAGGCCGCTATCGGTCCTTCGGCGCGATTTCAACCTGGTGGCCCTTCTGGTGGCAGGGGGACAGCTTCGGATGTTCTATCCCCAAGTTCAGCTTTTGGAACGTTTTCTGACGCTGGCAAGAACAAATCGAGTCATTGTGGACCTCGCTTGATCGTGTGTATCGTTGGTGGAGTCTGTTGGTCCGAGGTCAGGACTGCTTATCAAATGACTCAAAAGGTATTTCCAGTACTGATGAAATGAATTTCAAGTAAATGTCAGAATGCTCTTGTATTCAATAAAAGCCTGCTCAAGTGCTTTCTAGAAATTTAGGCAGGCGAACGAAGTGCCCGGAAAAAAGCAAGTCATTACCTTCTAGTCGCGTGATCACGTGAAGGCAGCCGTGACTCACGATCGAGCAATTGGATGGCCAAACAATTAAGTGCTCTCATATGATCAGACAAGGTGGGTTCGATTAACCACATCTCAGACCAGACGAACCCAACCCAAGTTCTCTGCGACAGATAAAAAAATACTTCACATAAAACGAAAAGTTTTCTTCCACGGAGCGTTATAATTTTACCTTGATTTCATGTTGGGTTGCACAATTCATCGATGGACTCGATATGAAGTTTCGTGACTTGCAGGTAGATTTGATAACGGAATCCGTTTGCCCTGAGTAGGTCTTCAAAAGACCTTTACGATGGCGCTATGTGCCATGGTAATGGAAACTAGTCAACAGCACTGATCACTAAAAAGAATGAAGATAAAACCCGTGTTCTGAAAGATGTTCTGAGGTCCTCAGTTGTACGATGAAACGGCGAACGCCATCCTAATGCTTGAAAAATCAAAACCAACCGGCTGCATTTTCAAAACTTCGTTGACCTGTAGTTTTCAGTGCAATAGACGCGCGTCCTTCAAAATTTCTCGGCTATGTTAGACCGTTCCCGATGTCCATGAGCTGGTATCTATCCAATTACCGTTACATTTTTTGTACGGTGAGGCCACCCAAGGAAAGTATAGCTTTACGCCTCTACCTCAGTGGTCTATCCTAAGGTCTCGTGCACTGAGCCGTGTCCCAAGGGGATCGCCGTGGTATGCTCTTCAAGGTAGTGGTCCCTTTTTGGGGACTTCACTGCTGCAGGACTAAATCTTTACTGTTCTTACCATGCAGATAAAATGAGGGGTTTATAACTAGAGAGGTTTGAGGGCCATCGATTTCAAGAAGGGTTCAAGTTTGACCTTCAGTACGAACAATTTACAACCTGTAAGTCTTCTCAATAATGTACACAAAAACTACAAGGGAGGATAACACAACCAACAGTAACAGCAACCTCTTCGTAGAAAAAGTACTCTCTTTCCATTGATTCCTCCCTTGGAGAGAGTATCTCAAAATTGACTACTTTGGTCGTTCCCTCCAGACGGGATTTTTAGAAATAACAACCTTACTAGGTATATGGTATCCTTACAACCTTTACGCTTCGGAAACTGAACATGCTATCATTTCAGTAAGGTTTGGTAAACATACCAACTGGTACACGACCCGTGGGAGTGAACACGGAAGACTGTTTCGTAGGTTTCCGTGCCTACCCATGTCACCCATGCTGAATTTCCAGTTTTTCTTCGTGTAACATTTCAAGGCACCAATGCTGCATCGGGTGTTTTTTCGACTAGTTAAACTGGGTGAAATTCCCACCTTCGTAGCGGTCAGTGTTGGCGCGTTTGTCAGATGACGTATTCAGGTTGGGTGTTTGATTCGTACTCGGGTCCTGCTGTTCACTGGGCATTCGTTGGCGGCGTATACATATTAGTTTGACTGCTCACCATCTGGTGAGCTACGGTACAGGGCCATGTCATCTTCCACTGGCGGCAGAACCCCCGGAATCAATATCTCCTCGATTTTCACGTTCCTCTACGGATAGCATCGACCATGTCACTACCCTCAAGATAGCGGGCTGGCCTACAGCCAAAGGCATCCGTTATGGTGGCTATATTCGCACCACAAAATGAGGACTGTTTTATGCATGCCGAATTTCTTGACCAACCCCGAGTTTGGTTCTGGCTAAATGGTTCGCCTCGAGATCCACATTAGATTTACACCCGAGTTTGAGTTTACCTGTGTAGCTTCAGTACCGTAACTACTCCAACTAATCATTCGCCTCTGCTTAGTATGTTCCTCTTAGAGGTCTTCTCCGCATATGCTTCACAATATTTGAGTCATTTCCGCATTCAGACAGCGCCACCTTACTCATCGACTTCTTGTCATTTACAGTGCATCGAAACGCGATTGGCGGCAAGTGACCGGCACACCGCGGCCCGAACGCCCAACACACCGCCCACCGCTGTCGTTGCCGGTGGTGGTGGTGTGGGCTGGAACTGGGAAGTTATGATTGGGGGGACACACGTGGTATCTCCGACCACTTTTATTGGTGACTTGGACCACATGTCACGTTATTTTGCCGCCGCCAGCACACAAGCACCACCTAACGTAGCTCAGCCACGTCGATCATCGCTTGCAAATTTCCACAGATTCTGAACTACTCTTAGAAGGGATTTCTTGATGAATGACAAGCGTACTCACATATCAACTTGGGGCCTTTCTTATTCATCCATTCTTGGCTGTGTGCGATAAAATTCTCCTTTTTCCTTCATCCGATTACTACTGTTACGCTTTTCGAATGCTATTTCCATTTTTCCAAGCTAATCTTGACCTCCCTGTTGAGTGATATACTTCGTTCACATTATCTTCGGGCCATGATCGAACCTGCATTCTTGAATAGTTCGAACAGCAACAACTTCAGACTGAGACCACACTTAGTCGAAGACTCCGTCGGTGTAGACGCATTTTACATACTGTTGTTGGCATTGTCTGGGGCACTACTTTGTATCTCCTAAGCAGGATGCCTGAATGGTCTCAAGGCCACAGCTGACTAACACGTGCGCAACTGTCTGAAAATGCAATGTCATGGTCCCGGCCTGTAACTAACTTTACCCATTTCACTCTAAAGCAACTCTCTTGAGATGGGATTAGTCGATCTCAAAAATGTCTCGGATACCCCAGTAAGTGCCTCTGGGTCACAGAAGACTGCTATTGAGATATTTGTATAGCCGTGTCACATGGAAATACTTCTTCATTCAAGTTTCCTTTGAATCAATATTGAATGCTCCCCTTAAGCACACACGGGAGCGGAAAACGCTGACTAAATGATGCCGTTCATGTCCACCAAGAAAATGATACCAATTTAGGATCTAATGTCACAGGGGTCGAAGACTTCAATTTTCTGATGGTAAAGATACGTCACTCTCAGTGAAGCTGTTGTGTTTCACGCTGGTCCACGACAATAAGCCTGCAGATGAATATCTGGAAGGTGAGCGCTGAAACATTTTTTGGTGCATCAAACATCACCGTAACATACACAGTAATATATATATATATATATATATATATATATATATGTGCGCAAAACACATAACAAGAGGGGCAGATATCTCTATTTCAATATATTTG